GTTTTTTAGAATCCTTAATGGTGCATACTTTATCATCATCCTTTGAGGATATCAAAATACTTTAGTGGTGAATCAATGTACTTCAGTGCTTCTATTTGCAAGGAATGCCATTACACAGGACAATTATATGATCAATTTGCAAAATTATATTCAGCCAATGATTGTTACAGTACACTATTCCATGTGAAGCTAGCATGAGGAGTAATACAGGTTAAACTCTTTAATCTTAAGGGAAATCACAATAATATTTCAACAAATGTTCCCAAAAGTATTAAGGAGCAAACCCAAATGACTACAAAATCCAATTCGAATTTAAGTAGTATTTCCTGATGAATGTTACTATCCTTAAGAAAATGCTTATTATAGCAATAGTATTTTTGGCTCTAAAATAGTACTCTCCCACTCAGAAAATATGGAGAGGCAGAGCACAAACTTAACTAGAATTCTTGAAAGGAGAAAAAGAAACTTCTGGGTTGTTAAAAAACTGCAGGTTCTTTTAATCTATTAAATTTATTCTAGTAAGACATTTTAGAAGTTATGCTATACTTTTCAGACTATTATTTGAATCACATAAAAGTATTTATATTTTTAAGTGATATCAAGAGTAACCCTAACGGTAGAATTTTGTGAAAAAGAGAAAATCCAGCTAACATCTAATATTCACGATATACTAGTCAGTTTCTAAAATCATGATTCATGGACATTTTTGTTTATTTGTTTTGATTTTTGAGATGAAGGCTCACTATGTAGTTCAAGCTGGCCTAAAATTCATTATGTAGCTCAGGTTGGCCTGAACTTACCATGATTCTCCTGTCTCAGCTTCCCCAGTGCTAGGATTACAGGCATACACCACCATGCCTAGCTAGTTGACTTATTTATTATAGTTAATATACTTAAATAATATAATAATTAGTAATTATACATATTTAAAAATTGACCTTAAATTCTAGATAAAATAAGCTTATCCCAGATGAAATAACCAACCTCATATTTTCCTTATAACATCCAAGAAATTATCGGTATGTGAACCCCTTAAAGCAGGGATCTAGTCTTGTTTATCTTTATAGCCCTAGAACTTAATGTTATATCTAATAATGATACAATGGGTATTTGGTAGTTTTTTGAAATTAACAGAGAAATGCTCAAACTCATATAACAGGCTCTGTGCTAGGCCATGAAATTTATGCATTAGCTAGCAATGTTTTGTTTGTGGGAAACAAGATCTTACAGTACATGGCTTAACAAAATTAGCACATATTACAAAACTTCTCCATATCCACATCAAAATGTCACTTTATGCAGCTTTGGCTGAAACTGGGTCACATTCTCACAGAGTGAAGTGATTGGCCTGAACTCATCCAAACCAACTGTTAGAGCTGGTTTGGATTTAAATCCTTCCCAAACTGCTAATGGCTGGGAAATACAGAATTTTCTTAAGAAAAAAAGAACTGAATGCTTCATAGGCAACCAACATACACCCAAAGATAATGTTAGATTCTGTTAAATACAGTGTTCAACTTGTCTGAGGTGGAAAGTGGTTTAAAACTAGATACTCTAAATCTTGTATTCTTTCTACTTTAAATTATATTGTTGTTTTTGCTTTTTTTTTTTTTTAAACTACCAGTGTCAAGTTAGGATCTGGATTGTTCCCAGTTGTTCAAGTCCTAGTCCACCAGCTTGCTGCTGTTAGGAGATGATGGAAATTTTAGGAGGTAAGACCTAGTGTGAAGTCTTCTGGTCATAATCCTAGAAGGGGACCATGTGACCCCAGCTCTTTCTATTCCTCTCTATGTTTTCATCCTGGCCATGAGAGGAGTGGCTGGACTTTACTGTTTTCTCTTATCCTGATGTGTTGCTAAAGACCCAAAGCAACTGTACCGATAGATCCGGGGCTAACAACTCTAAAAATATTTATAAGTTGATTATTTTAATGACAGAAAGATGATTAACATAACTAGATATTATAAAATATTATCCCTTTCCTAATTTTAGGAAACTAAAAGTTTCATCCTAGAGAAAAAAGGGTGATTTTATTTATTTATTTTATTTTGGTACCGGGAATCAAACTCAGTACCTCATGCTCGCCAGGCAGACGCTGTGACATGAAGCTGTATCCCCAGTCCAAAAGTGGGGTTTATGTAGAATATCTTCTCTTCCCTGATACAGCCATTCCAAACATCCTTGCCTCCACCTTCCCTAGCACGTTGGAATCCTTCCCATCTTGCCTACCCCAGCCCAGGGCTCTCACACTCCATGGCACTGGCCCATGCTCCAAATGATCTCTTCTTAATTCTCATTTTAATCCCCATTCATTTAGGCATTAAATAAAATAATTCTCATTAACACAACTACAATACATTACCTCTTCTAGGGATATCTGCCACTTATATCATGTTACTTGTTAGGCGCATGCCCTGAGCTTTACCTCCAACAGTCTCTCCAATAGTAATTGCCAGAGGAGGAGATACTAAAAGGTGGCTGCTGGGGTTTGTGTGTCCTCCAGAAGTTCTAGTGCAGAAACCTTAATTCCTCAGTGTAGCAGTATTGGAAATGGGACTTCATTGGGAAGTTTGGATTAGCGGTTCTCAGCCCTAATGGATATTAAGTCCGTTCTCGCATGAATGAATGCTCTTAATCTCACAAGACTGGATTAGTTACTTCAAAAGCAGGGTGATATAAAGTAGTTCCGACTTTGTGTTATCTGTCTTTTACATGTAGCTGCTTCCCTTCTGCCTTCTGCCATGAATTGAAGCAGCACAAGGACCCTTTTAAAAGCCAAACAGACAGCAGAACTGTGTTTTTGGATTCCTCCAGCTTTGAGAATGGTGAGCCAAAATAAATACATTTCTTTCATTTATTTATTTATTGGTACCAGGGATTGAACTCATGACCTCGTGCTTGCCAGACAGGCACTTATGCTACTGAGCTAAATACCCAGCCCTACATTTCTATGTAAATTACTCAAAAATAGACATTTTGTTATTGAAACAGGAAATAGAATAAGATAGTACATAAGAACCTTATTGCAGACAAACTTATCCTGAGTCCAGGATAAAACTCTGAAAATGATTGTCATCATTGTGTCCATGGATATATGGCTTTCCTAACTCCATTTTTATATTTAAGAATTTGAGCTACTTTTTACATTTAAAAGTTGGTATCTGATTAGTATTTTTATGTAACTGTTGCTTAATTTTCAGATTATTCTTCTACAACACATAAAATTATACTCACTTAAAAATGATTTAGAGCTGAGCATGGTAGTGCACACCTGTAGTCCCAGAACTCAAGAGGCCGAGACAAGAGGATGTCATGAGTTTGAGGCCAGCCTGGGCTACATAGTGAGTTCAAGGTCAGCCTGATCTACAAAATGAGACCCTGTCTCAAAAAAAAAAAAAGAATCACAAAACACAAAACAAAACTTTACAGACTTCACCCTGCTTTTGAATGTGATTATATCAGTATGTACTACCTTCCTCCCCTTAAAAAAAACTGTTTTCACTTATGACTTATGGCCTTTAAACACACAAGAACTAAAAATGGAAGAAAAATTAAGTTCTGTACAGCTAAAATGCCTACAAATCCATTAGTTTTAAGAATGACAAAATTTGGGATTTATCCATCAGAGTGGCTAATGTTTTCTTCCTTATAGAAAGCCAAACCCAGTTGAAATCTAAATTCAACAAACTGTGAGTTGAGTGCTGTAGAGTTGGCTGAGCCAGAAGTTAAAATATACTACCAGTCTGTATGTGGTCAGCCCTAATTTGAACTGATAAGAGCTGGAGGCTTGCTCGGTGCTTTTAAACCAATAGTAGGCTGTGGGCTCTAAGAAACTGACCCTTTTACTGCACATGAAGTCTGTAAGGTCTGTAAGCTTCAGCAGTATGTGCAGCTGCTTTGTGGTCACACACATTTACTGCTTCACTGCTTTCAGAGGAGACAGCCCTTCCCACCCACCTCCTGTGGCCTACACAGAGAAATGCTGCTCTTGCTGAGTTCTCAGCCTCTGCAGTCAACCCCCACACATGAACTGTTAAAGTGCTTATTCTGTCCACTTTAGAATCTGACCTATTACATTGTTTTTTCCTTAATTGAAAGCAACATTGTATATATTTAAAGACTTTTTTTCTAAATTGGATTTATGAAATCTCTTAATGATCTTTGTTTTATACCAGTGTCACAATTGTTGGAATTCTCAGTAATTTTTATTGTTGGCAGAGTTCTTTAAAAAAAAACTGGCACTATAAAAACTAGGGAATTTTAGATGTGGGCAGCAACTCACTTGGTCATATCCATTTAAGCTAAGATGAAACAACTTATGAGTGTGATTCTGTCTGCTGATGTTTATAGAACATTCCCACACTCATCAGGCGGTAGCACGCTGTGGGTGGAGAGCGTCGGGTGAGTGTGTGCGCAGTTATGGTAACAGCTCTGCTGCCTGTTTCAGGCTGTACTGAAATATTTCCTCTGCCTACTCAACAGCCAAAGAAGGCCAGCCTGAAACAGTCAGAAAGAGGGAGTAGAAAACATAGAGTATCTTACTAACAGAAGTTTAGAGATTGGCTAAAGGTTTTTTACATTTATATGGAAAGACAATCTAACACCAATATGTCTTTTTATGAATCATGTGTTCTAGTTTGAGTTGGCTCTATTTTAAAATCACACCAGCAATTTTAGCAGGATTCGTTGTACAGATAATATTTAAATTCTATTTTTCAGTCAAAGATTATTAAAGAAAGACTCTGTGAACTGAAGGTTTCTCTGTACCTGCTATGAAACTGACATTTATTGGCCTACTATGTGCCAGTCATAGTGCTGAGTAGAGGAAGGTGAGATAAAAGCAAGAAACAGCCTTACACTTGAAATGCTCTGTCTAGTGTGAAGGAAATTATTTGAACAAATAAACAGTATCTAGCATGACAAATTATATACACAGAAACATACTCCAGGAGATACTGACCAACAAAGAAGGTAAGTATATTGACTGGAGTAAACACTGGTTGGAGGGCATAATTATTATTATTTTTTTAATTTATTTAAGGAGAAAAAGAAAAAAAGCAGAGAAAGGGTACAAGTTATACAGATTTACAGAAAAAAATAAACAGTAGGAAATCACTAGTTAATGGATTACATATTGTCATCTTAGAAATAGTTGTTCAAGTTACAAAATTAAAGTTTATAAAGTGGACATTTCAACAGTGAGACTGCAAACAGTTCTGTTCAATGATCCAACAAAACTCAGTAATATCATTATCTATCTTATATACTTAAATATATATGCAGTTATATCGTTTAGAGCACTTTCTTTTCCTCTCTTTTCTACAATGACAATTACACATTTTGGGTTTTGTTGCTCCCACAGTTCTTATTACTTTTTTGGAAGGGAGTAGAACCAAATGTGACATAACAGAACAGAGTCAGTCAAATCAAAAGGGTGGATATAATAGATAATGTAAAAGCATAATATAAGGTGATCAACAATGGTTATCATAATGCCTCCCACTCTCTCTAATAGAATTGCCTATATCATCAGTTATAATAAAATTGAACAAAACAGTAAGAACAAAACCGGCAAAACCAAAACATTGGAGACATTACAGGTCTTCAAAAGTAGATAATAGTCAACCAGAATGGGCTTCATAATGAATCCCACTATCTTCACAGCTGTTGCCTAAACTTTCGAACCTGGTACTATCAAGCAAAACAGAATAGAGGGACATCAGTCAAAAAAGATAGTGAGAGCTATACAGGGCTTTAAATCAAGATAATGGAAAGTCAAAGTGGGTTACTATAATATATCCTGCTATTTTTTATTTATTTTTCCCTTAATTAAAAGGATAAAAATAAAAAAGTAAATAATAAAATGGAGACTGAGATAAAAGAGAGCATAAAAACAAAACAGTGCAGATCAAAACATAACCATTTAAGCAAAATAGTGTTTCACCACAAGATAATCCCGACATAAAAGTAGTTACCATATTGTCTTTTTCCTTGAAATCTTTGAGTATAACTTCGTATACTGTAGCAGCAAATATATCAAAACAATGTAAAACCATTTAAGAGAATGACAGTATTACAGGGTATTTAGAATCAACTAACAGAAAATGAACAATGGTTTCTGTATAATCTCCTTGTCTATGAAAGTTTTTGCTTATACTATCATACATAATAAAATCCAATAAGATACAACCTGTTTAGACCAATGGAGACAGAAGAACAAAAGCTTGATGAGACTTCAAAACAAGATGATACTAAATCAGTATTACCTATTAAGACGTCATTTTCTCCAAAATAGCTGTTCCTATCATCCAATCTTCCCTGCCTCATTTCTGTTGAGCTCTTTTTCTGTCATTAGTTGTCAGTTTGTGTTCTTCATTTTGTTTTCTGCTCCATTCATTGTGGCCTCTCTGCCACTATTTCTGGATTCTTCATATTTTTCTTTTTTAGAATATCCTGTAGTATTCTCTGTAGAGTTGAATTGGTTGAATTGCATATTGTCCTAGTTCCTCTTTATCCTGGAAGCACCTTGTTTTTCCATCAATTTCCAGGGATAGTTGTGCAGGATATATCAATCTTGCTGGAGATTATTATCTTTCAAAGCTTGAATTATTTCCCCCCACGCTCTTCGTGATTTGATGGTTTGTGCCGAGAAATCTGCTGTAATTCTGATGGGGGTTCCCCTGTAAGTGATCTGTTTCTTGTTTCTTGTATTGGATTTCTGGAATTTTATTATTATATGCCTGGGTGTAGTTCCGTTTGGGTTGTAGGTGGCTGGGGTCCTGTATGCTTCATACAACTGAGTATCTTTTCCTTTTGCTAAATTAGGAAAATTCTCCTGGATTATTTCTGTGAGTAGCTTTTGTAGTTCATTTGTTTGTGTCCCTACCTTTTCTTTTATGTTCTTAATTCTTAAGTTATAGATCCTCTTACCATCTTCTAGTATTTGTATTATTGCTGTTTGTTTCTTTGTTATTTTTAAGAAGTTTTTCATTTCATGCTCCCATATTACAAATCTGCCCTCCAGTTCAGATAATCTGTCCTTAGTTTCATTCAAGCTGTTATGCCAGTTTTCGATAGAGTTTTTAGTTTCCTGGTAATCTCTTTGAACCTGCTTCATGTATTCTATGCTTTCTCTATTTTCTCCATCAAACAATTCTCCCTTCTTTTTCTGTTCTTCCATTCCACCATCTGTTTTTTTCTTGGGTGGTGCTTAGCATTTCTCTAACTATTCTGCTTATGTCTAGCTTCAGGTCATTAATAACTTCATTCCTGAACTTGTCTATGAGGCTCTGGAGATAGCACTTTATATCTATTGGTGCTGTGTCTGCTATTGCCTCTTTCTCAGGATTGGGGGCCGAGGACCCTTTCTTGTTGCTGCCTCTTCCCATATTCTTTATTCCTTATATATGCAAGCGTATATAGGAGGCCCAGCTTCCTTCCCTGTCAGCCACAGTCTGATTGAATTGCGCCGGCTAGGTGTTCCTGCCCACCACAGCGCACCAGGAAGTTGCAGACCAGGCAGCCTATGTGGGGCCCGCCCCTCCAGGTCACTTTCAGGCACTGGGATCTGGGTTGTGCTAGTCTACTGGGTCTCAGCCAGCAGTGTCACGTAGGCTAGGCACTGCTCACCAATCCTGCTTGAGAGGGGAATATGTGACTGAAGTCACTGCAGCACCCTGTTCCCACAAGTCTGCCCAGTCCTAGAATGTCCTCTGTTGGAGTCTCCTAGACAGTGGAAGAGTCCCAGTTTCTCTCACTCACCGCAGGTCAATGCACAGCTCCCCGCCCGTCCTGCTTTCAACTCCATTCACCGATCCCATTCTCAGAGCTTTCGCTCTTCTCTCTCCCTGCCAAGCAGATGTAGATGCAGCAGCAGTGGCGGCGGGAAACCCAAATTGTGGCTTCCAATGGCACGGGCTCCAGCTTCCCCACTGAGGCTTTTCTGTTCCTGTTATAGCACGAGGATTGTATTCCCAGTTGGTTTTTCTCAGCCCAGTTCGTTCTTGGGTCAGCAGGGCATATCTCCACTTGCTTATGATTCCTTACTCCGCACCATTCCTGAATTCTAAGCTGGGTCTTTCAGAGAGCCTCCATAGCTGCTGCTATCTGTCCGCCATGTTCTCCCGGAAGTCTGGAGGGCATAATTAAATGGCAGCCATGCTGAAGTGGTTAGATATGGAAGAGTAGTGTCCTATTATGATACCTTTAGTCCTCTATGCAATCTTGTAACCTAGCAGTGATGAATCCTCATTGTGCGAACCACATATATATTCTTTTTCCTTACAGTCAAGACCCGTTGGTATCTGCTGAGCTCTACTATAAGACCAATTTTTTATTCACTTGAGAAAGATTTAGGAATCTTGGATTCATCTACCACAGAGCATCCTACCTGTGAGCGTAGTCAGGGTGACAGTGGCCAGCAGGCATAGGAAGAGAAGCAGAGTACTAGAGATACTGAGACCCTGAGAACCATCAGATACACAAAGTACATTTATATCTCTACAGTGATCATCATGTTGTTAGCTAACTTGCAAGATTTTAACTGAGCATCAGAGAGGAGTAGTAACCTATCCAAGATCACACAAATAGTGTTAGAGATGAGATTTTACTTTATAATGTTCTTTCCTTCACAGGTGAGAGAAGCCCATTCTAAATAGTTGGGCAGAGAGTTATTTTAAGAGAGAATGGGACTGCATCCTACTTCTTAAACAGGGTGGTGAGCACACTGGAGATCATTAGTTTACATTTCTGTAACTCTTACATATAATATCATTAGGATTTTATATCTACTCAGTATTTACTAAAACAAATTTAAAGAATACAAGTAAGTGGGAATACTGGATGAGCAGAATGGTAAAAAGAAATGTTTCTGAATTTTAAAACAAGAGAAAAATTTGGCAGACAATCAGTTGGCGTCAGCACCATCCTAGCAGGAATACTGAAAGTAAGCACATAGAGGAAGCAGGGTGCTAAGAAATCCAGAATCCAACAGGCAGAGCACCTCTGTGTGTTCAGTGTAGGGAACATGACCCCAGGCACACATTAGATGGTTAGGGAAGCACCCAAACCTCTGGTGGGAGCGAGGGAGTAGAGAGAAGCAAAGCAAGTACCAATCCATCTCAGGTCCAGGAAATAAGAAAAGTTTCCAGTCATTAGTACTGAAGAGATTGTATCTCAAGAATAGAGCAGAACTAAGCAGAACTAAACCAAGTGGCATAGCCTAATCAAAGTAAGAGCTCCTCCATACAATAAAGAAGCGGAAATAGAGTTTTCACATGCTTTCCATGAGGTGAGTCTAGAGTAGAAAGGACTGGGGAGAAGCTGGGTGGTGTCGAGAACATAAAGCTAAAGAGAGAGGAGAAAGGAAAGCCCACGCCTGGAGACTGACATGTCTGGATAGGAATGCTACCTGCAGGGGACAGCTGCTGTTATTTTTTCCTATCCTTCATCTAGTAGTGGCTAATTTGCTAGCTCCTCTCTGAGCCCTTTCCTCATCTTCCAAGCACATAGATGGGGTATATGTCAGTATGTCTTGTCAGTCTTAAGGCCAGGACACTAGCTAAATCAGTTGTACCCTGTCTTCCAAAACTGGAGCCCCAAAAGAAGGGATAGAAAATATTTGATGCTGTTTTACTTCTGAGCCTGGATCTCAGTAAACAGCTGCTCTAGTTCTTGTGCCTTCTGAAGACTGAGTCTTCGTTATTTCCAGAATTCTGCAAATGCCCCTGACCTTCCGGTGTACTGTTTCTTTCATTTAGATGATCTGAAGTCGTTTCTGTTGCTTTCAATCGAAGTGTTCTAAGTGACTCAGTATTAAAATAACAGGAAGATTTCAGTTCTTTTAAAGTCAGCCTTCCCAAAGGTGGTGTAGTCAGAATCAATCTCCTTGAGTCTGCAGTTTGTGGAGTCCTAAGAGCTACCCTGTATCTGCAGAATCCTGTTTATCCAGACACTGTCAAGCAGACACTTCCAATCTAGTCTCCTCGCATCCTCCTCTGACTCCCTATTCTGATAGCTAATGAATACATTTTCTTAAGCTCCAAGATGTTTAAAAAATAATTGAGTTCTCTGTGATTTCTGTAAAATTTAAAAATTCATGTTTAGTGACTGAAAGAAATGTCAGATCTAAAATAAATACATTATCATGAAAAGAGAGTATTGTATTGTCTGTTTCTTTTCTGTAAGAATCTTTTCAGTTGATGTCTTATACTGAGGGACTACTTTGAAGATAATGATACCCAGTGTATTAACTATTGTTATTTCCTCATTTTGTTATGAAATTTTTTTCTATTTTTTCACAAAATAAAAAATATTAGAGAAGCCAGATTTTTTAATATATTGAGATGAAGTGAGAATATTGTGCACAGGTATGTATTTTTACTTTAATCAGGCTAAGTGTAACCACTTTTCCTTAGAGACGTGACCCCACAAAATGACACTTTTCCTTGTTTAAAAACTAAAGAGGGAAACAAACAATTTTAGTCCAACACTGAAAGATTTTTTTAAATACACTATTTTCAGATTTACAAACTTGAAAGGCATGAAGACTTTTTTTTCCTAGTCTTTGATTCAGTCTTAACATTTTCATTATGAAAACTCAGAGATCCATAAATAGAGAAGATGGAACAATGGTCCTTATGCTACAAAGAGGTAACTGAAGTCATTCACAGTCATTTTCACTGGCAATCAATAAGGTATTGATTTTCTATTCTTACTTCTCTTGCAGTAATATCCTTGGCTTGAAGTTGAACCTAAGCTCGGAAATATTAGCAAATAAAACAATTGGAGTCTGTGGACATAAAAATAGTGAAAGCCTAGAGATTCTTCAGAGGTGAAAATAATTGTCTGTTCTCTGTTACTTCTTGTGATCAGAAGATAGTACCGCAATGGCCCAGGCTAGTAGCAGAACTAGTTCAAACTTCTAGGTTTTATTCTGTTTCACAGCTGAAGTCTAGACCTGTATATTAGATAAGCAGGAGCATCTTTATCATGGGGAGAGTCAAGCAAGTGTGTCTGGGTCTTGATGGACTTATTTCATTGCTACTGCAAAATCTACTCAAAGTCCCACCCCCACTGTCTATAAATCAATAGCATTATCTGAGAACATGAGGAAAAGTAGAATCTCATTCAAATTTAAAAGGAATTGATCAAATTGGGAAATTTTAACTTACTGTACATTAAAGTACAGGCTATTAAGTCCTGGGAAAACCCATTCCAGAATGAAGTATAGTAATTTCTTATAAAATTATGCATGCTGAGAAGCTTATGTTGAGTAATTAATAGGTAAAGATCAAAGCTCAAATTTTCAACTTGGAAAACTGGAATCTAAAAAAAGAAACATCAAATTGCAATTTTATTTGATAAGTATAATTGTAATAGCTTTGAAAAAAATCCTATAAAAATGACTTCCAAAGGACAAATCTATGCTTTCCTGATTTTGTAGACTTGTTTTGCAATGTCATTAAACAAATCCCAAAAAACGAACATGAGAGATGACAAACTGCGTTTGCCTTTAACTCACGTGACTGTAAGACCACTACTTTTAAACATTTTTTTACTTCAGCGTCTTTTTAACATATTTTTTGGGGGTACATTTATTGTATGACAGATCTAAAAGAAAACCACTATTATTTGCTGTCAAGAGTAAGATGGATCGTTTAAGCAATTTTTAAAAAGCAGTTTAAGGAGGTTTATATGAAAACACTAGTTTTCTGGAGTGTAATATTTGGGCCACGGGGCACATTCCTGTTCACACAGTGAAACCTCTTATGATCACATAGGAAATGAGTACCCTGTTGCAAATAATAGAAATTTCCATGATGACAAAGGCCTAATACTCAACTTGGCACATAAAAAGTATAGTTAATTTCATTAGAGAGTAAGCTCCAAGACCACAGCCATGCTGAAATCTGCACATTGGTGATCCCATATCCCAGAATTCTTGGTCAAGCTCCTCTTTTCAGAGTCTTTTACCCTGATGACACAATGATTTTCTGAACTACACCTACACAAATTTCCTCTGCCAAAGCATGGAATAAGCCCAATAGATCTCTTCTCTTTACCCACATCTCTTACTGTCAGGAAAAACAAACATAAAAGCAAAAAAATGTCTTACAGTTGAGAAATGTATAAATATTAACAAATAAAACAACCCCTTCCAAAGGTATGGGAAAAGCAAATGGGACAGTGAAAATCTAGATATACTGCAGATATCTGACTAGATATATAACCATCTTCTGTCTGATAATTCTGCTGATCAGAAAATAGTACCACCATATCTAAGGCCAGGTGTAAGCCCAGCCTTCCAGCCTTTATCCCACTCTCTTGCTAGCCAGAAAAGCAAAAACAAGAGAAAAAGATTCCTTGACCTCTATACGCATACAAATTTTAATTACCTACACTATTTTTCTCTAACATTTTGTGATATATAATTATTCAATTATATGTCCTTGCTGGCATTTTATAAGCTCCTAGAATAATGGAACTTAAAGTTAATTTGTAGTTCACATAAAGTAATTCTTCATTTATTAGTAAGACAAAATTCTGTCTTAGGGCTAGAAAATTGGCCTTGGTTGCCTTTCCTTCCACAGCATGAAAATGATTGGTTTTGTGTTTTGTTGTCACTGTTATATTCTATTCATACATGCTAGAGTTGTTCATTTGTTCCAGGTAATTAGGAAAAGGTTTACTTAGTTATAAAAGTGTACAATTAACTGTTAAGATTGCACATGACAATAATTAAATATCAAAATTATAACTGAAAAAGGTATTGTGTAGTCTCCCTTGTAGACATAATGTTGGTTTCACCAAATGGCCCTACATCATGTTTCCAGATGCTCCAAAAGATGCTGTGCTGTGAAGTAAATAGGTACCTTTGGGAATCCAGGTAGTCCAACATTCTTTATGAAGACTCATTTTTTTTTTTTACCAAGAACTCTGATAAGATACTGGTAAGATGAATAAAAGTTGTAGACTTCTGAGAACACACTTTTGTAGTAATGCAAGAATCTGGGATTTATTATCTCAAGTTCTCAGACGGAAGAATCATAAAATCATGTTATTATAGTATTAAGGTATGATACACTTCCAAGATAGTCAAATTTAATCACGTTGCTATCTCTAGTCACTTATAATGGCTACTCATTAAAGACTTAAAGAATCCTGATGATTAATGAGAAAATATTAATCAGAAAATAGAGCATAAAGCGGCCGGGGATTTAGCTCAGTGGCATAAACACCTGCCTGGCAAGCCTGAGGTCGTGAGTTCAATCCCCGGTACAAAAAAAAAAAAAAAGATAGAACATGAATACAGTGATTGTATGTCACTTCTCTAATATTTTTGTGTTTTGTATCCCAACATAATTTTATGAGCATCCTTTTTCACTTTAAGAAGAGGGGATCAAGAAAAACTGGGTGGAAGTTGGGTCGTATGTTATGAGCAGCTTGAAGTTAGAGAATAACAACAAGCTTTCTTTAAAAACAAGTAAACACACAAAATGTGTTCTCTTTTGGGCTACTGAGCAAAAATACCCCAAATCAAAACTCAGTATTTAGCTCAACACATTCATGAATGTGTTAATTAAATTCACAGCTTTTCTAGAACTCTTGTATGAAAATTTTAGTATTTATTGGAAAAGAATAGACATCCTGTAGGACTATTTGGAAAGAATTGAAGGATTCAAAAGGTACCATCTTCTTTGCCCCATAAAGCAGAATGAAGCTGTTCCTGCCCTTTCTAGAAGACACTGTAGTGGCTTAACCTGAGGAAAGTATTAAACAGCAGACATTTGAGTACATGTACTTGACCACCCCTAACCTCTAATTGGAACAGTAGTGACCAGCCCTCAGAGGTCCTATTTAATATCACAGTAACAGGCCCCTAGACTTAGAGAGTCTGCTTTTAGCTACCACAACAGAATAAAAGCTCTTCACCTAATTCTCAGACTAGATATCCCACAGAATTGAGAGAAGGCTGGATACACTTATTGTATCCTGTCCTAACAAGTGTGCACTATGATTTTCTTTCTAAACTTCCACAAAGGAATTTATAGTCATTTACTAAAGGATTTGTTTAATAAGAAAAACGTAATACTCTGACCTTTCCTTGATTATTTGACACAGGCTTTGAGTAGGCACTTATTTCAGATATTGAAGATAGATTATCAGTTTGGTTCACTTATTAGGGGAGAGGGGTAAAGAGATCAGGTATGAACAGAGCTCTCACCCATGGAGTCCCAATAAGCTGAACCTATGTAACTGTTATTTCCAGGTTGCTAAATGTGCTGTCATTACAGATAACCTCAGCAAATGACCAAAACCCAAACTGGATCACTGACCACTGGTGTAATAGTTTTCATCTGGTTTTTCCAGCATAATTATTACTAGTACAACTTTGTTACTATAAAAATATCCTAGTTTTAATGATTAATCATATGATTACCATACCTACTATGGTAGGAAGGGATAAGTAAAATGCTTAGAACGCCCTTCCTCTTCCAAAATGGTAAATCAAAACCAATGTTATATCATAGGGAGGAGACCAGAAAAGGTGGGGGAAAGACGTAAAATTAAAGGCCACATTGGAAGACTTAAAAGATATAGAAATAACTCTTTTGGCCTAAGCAAAATTCCTCTAGTGTTCAAAATGTTTCATCAATACTCATGCCCAGTTGATCATCATACATGTAATCTGTATTTCAGGCCAAAATGGCCACTCCACTTGTAATTTCATTATTAGAACAAATAAAATTTCTAGTTTGCATCTATTCATCTGACAAATGCTATTTCAAAAACCAGAAGTTCACCTTCACCTGACAGCAACAGTAGTATTCCTGTCTGGTCTCATGGTAATAGCTCATGAACTATGTGCCACAGTTTGGTACTTGGAGTCCTTTATTTCATAGGGTGTCATGCTATTCAGCTGCCCTGTTATATCATGTTGATAATACCCAGAAATGTAAGGTAGCGGTGATGGGCTTTTGATGGCCCTTTCTTCCGCCTGAAGCACACAGAGATCACCTCTCCAAGGTGAAGAACAGGTTACTGTATCTTGTACCCCATACCATTAAAGAAAGAAACTACATTTCATAAACTTCATTGAATTTGGGGAGTAACAGATAACATGGATGTGCTTCTTTTATTCATTCATAGGATGGCTTCAAGTTTTGACTGGAACCTAGGAGTAGAAGGGGCTAGTTGGTCTAAACTTTATTGCAGGTAGCCCCTATTTGTTTTTTTAGAGTCAAGTGAATCAAACAGGATTCAAAATTTCTTCAGCTGATTGGTATGCCCTCTAAACTTTGTGGAAATTCCAATTAGAGAACCACAACAGAGGTCCCTGTGGTATTTGAGCATAAGCACATTTACTTTACCAAGTAGTAATCATCCATCCAAGGAACAGCTCTTGGTTTCTACTGGGTGTTCTGGAAAAGAATGAATATGGATTTGTAATAATATTAGGCATTCCCTAGGAAACTCTTGTGATTGCTCTCTAAGCTCATAAACACGTGTTTACTCTAAGATAACCTTAACAAAATTGACTTCCCCAACCAATACTGTCTGGTTGGTGTGACTCTTGTATTAACTAGATATGAGCCTCTGATGCAGAATCCAGGAGAATCACAAGGCCCTTGGTATCAGGCTGGTTGCATTTCTTCATAAAAGGGAAGTTTTTTGCATTATTGAAATAGACATTTTTTTATTTGAAATCATCTTTCCTCATTGCCATATATCTGCAATCACCACCACCTATAGATTTATTTAACACTTTATTCATTAGCAGCCTCTCTTTGATCCATTTGCTTTTAGTAAAATGCAATATATTGGTGTCCATGGAATCATATGCATCATATGCCCCATCATTTGAAAGTAGTTTGCCTTCATAGATTGGCAGAATGCTTACTGAATGTTCAGTCAGCTAGCTTAGGAAATAATACCTTGCCAATTAGGAATGCTACTCTGTAGATGCACTTTGTACTCCTGAATTAGTTTATTTTTGGTACTATAACAAAATGGCCAACACAGGCTGACCTTATAAAGAAAAGAGATTCATAGTTAATCCTTTTATGTTTTGTTTTATTTTCTGTTTTGGGGGAAATTTTTAGCTCACAGTTCTAAAGTTCAAGGGAAAAGTGCTATTTATTATTAGATTGGCTCTGACGACAATAATGATGCCATGATGGTGGAAGTTGATGATGGAAGAAAATGCCACACCCCAAAACAGGAAGCTAGAGCAAAGGAGGGGGCCTTCAAAGCCCTACAAACTAGGCTCCATCTCTGAAGGGTTCCACCTCCCATCATTGTCATAATAAGGACCACGCTTCCAACACATGAACCTTGTGAGTATAATCTGAGACCAAATTCAAATCATAATTTTCTACCTGTGGACACCAAGACTCATGCTCATCTTTCAGTGAAAAGAGTGCACATTCTGTCTCCAATAGTCTTATTCCAAGACACTATTCCATAGTGTCTTATTCCATCCAGTGATGTTCAAATATCCAAGTCTAAAATCTCCTCAGACACATTCTTTCAACTGTGAGCCCTTGTAAAAGCAAAACAAATCATATACTTCCAAGATATAGGAATGGGATAAGGACAAAATAAACATTCCTATTAAAAAAAGAAAGAGTCTGGAAGTAGAAAGAACTAGTCAGCCCAAACCAGAGCCAAAACTTAGTAGGGAAAACATCAAATACTTTTTAGTCAGCTTTCCATTAGTGTAACAAAATGCCTGAGTTAACTGGCTTATAAAGAGAAAAGCTGCATTTCGGCTCACAGATTTGGAAGTCCCAGAAACCATCCACTGGCCCTGTTACTCTGGGGCTCTGCAAAGGCAACACACCACAGCACGAGCATGCAGCAGGGTCCTCATTCCATATGTGGAGAAAGGAAGGGGTTGGCCTCCAGTGACCTGTGGACCCCAACAGTCTCTATGTTACAGGGCCCACTGCTGGACCAAGGAACCAGTCTCCAATGTGGCTGAATTTTTGAGGACAAATTTAGGCCGTATCCAAACTATTACAGTTTTGAACCAGAGTTTGGGGTTCTTTACCTACACTGTCTTAGCTGACATGACTCTATAAAAATACCTTAGAATGGGTAAATAAAAAAACAACAAAAATTTGTCTATATATCTCACAGATTTGGAGGCTGAGAAGTCCAAGACCAAAGTGCCAGCAGGTTTAAAGTTGGGGGAGGGCTCTTGCTGTGCATTTTGGTGCCCTTCTTCTGTTGTCCCCACATTGTGGATGCCTCCTGGCCATGTAAACCTTTGGTCCGTTGCACTTTTCTTTCTGTATACACTTTTCTAATCGCCCTCAAAGCATTCTGGAACTTCTCTTTACAAATCTGAAGAAACCAATATGAAATGGAAAATGAGAGGTATTCGCTGCTTCTTTTAAGATAAATCTCTCAAATAAAGCACCATGACTGATTCTCCAACATCCCCATATTTGTCAAGAAAAAGGTTCTCACAAACAAGACTTGGTCATGTGTCTCAATAAAAGTTTCCAGGACACGTGAACACGTATGTGGCTCCTGAAGCTTCTCTAACGGGAGAGGTTATATAATGGGGAAGTCGGCTGAACCGACTCAGATGCTAAAAGCCTTCGTCACACATAAAAATGACAAAAATCATTATAACTAACATATGATCTATTTAAATATAAAATAATTATCGATGTCTGAGTAAAATAAAAAGAAAAATCTTTTAAAAATATTTCTGTGAGAACAATTTAGATTTCAAGCAGACTTGTTTCAACAGAAAATAATTCAATTGTTGAATTTTGACACATAACTTTTGAGGGAAGAATATATAACACTGACAAGTGCAATGACAAGTTGACTGTCCTAGTTCCTCACCATTGTGGAGATGACTAATTATATAATTTCCTGGAAGATTCCTCTTGAAGTGTCCTACTCACTTGTCTAGATACCATTGAAGGGACTGGACTATGCTGCATGCCGTTGCCTGCAGATGTTGTCCCAGTGTTCACAATTCTGACTTGCAGGCGTAACTGAGTGGCTCGTGTATAGAGAGGATAGAGAGGTCCTCCCAAGCACGGCATGGTGTTTGTTCTCCTCTGCCGTGTTAGAAAACCGGTCTGTGACACTGAATAGGTTATCCTAGGTTTACAAAGGATGCAAGAGTGCTAGATGTATAGTATGCACATAGACTAGGAAAGAGTAAGAGGTCATGCAGGACCAGGAACAAGTCAGAAATTCTGGACAGGAGCTGGGAGGCTGAGTTGTTAAGTAGTAACATATAATGTTAAAGCAGCTTGATTTCACCCCGGGAAGCAACATCTAGCAAAGCTAATCAGTAGAATCTAGCAGGCTTTTGTCTGCACATATGGCCATCGCAGAGATGCTGGGTCACAGTGTTCCTTTTGGCTTTGAAGAAGAAAGGTACCCTCTGTCTCACAGTTATCTGAGTACTCAGCACTCGCTCAATTTTTGCTTAGAAGCAAAACTGAGCGGCTTGTAGATAGAAAGATCCTCCCAAGCACATCGTGCTGTTTGTTCTCTGCCATGTTAGAAAACTGTTCTCTGACACATAACAGGCCTGCCTTTGGTTTACGTGGTTGGAAAATCTTTCTTTCTCTTAAAAATTCTCAAGAAAAATAATTCATATAAGTAATGCTATTTTTATTAGTACAAAATTCCAACAAGTCACAAGAGAAAAGTAAGGATCAAGACAGATCTATAAGGAAAAATATGTAGTAACTTGAAACAAATGAGTGCTGTTATTTGGATGTCTCTAAACAAAACACTCTAAAAATTCAAGAATAACTTTCTGTACATGTTATCATAACTAAAAGCCAAAATTATTTTTAAAGTGTTTTCTAAATTCTAACATATCTTACATTTTCTAGGTACTTACCAATACATAAAAACCTTTAATTTCCAATTATTCAATTTCTGTTGAACTCAAAACTACTGGGTTTGAATCAATTGTTCCAAATTGTGATTTTATTTTATTTATTTTTGGTACCAGGGGTTGAACTCATAATCTTGTGTTTGCCAAGCAGGCACTTCTGCCACTGAGCTAAATCCCAGGCTTGATTTTATTTTTTTCAACATATTCTTAGTAAGGTTATATAAGGTAAATATATACATAAACAAAAATTAAGAAATCAATTTACCGAATTTGTATTACATATAAAGTACATCACCTGTTTCTAAACATATACAAATTTCAAGAGACAAAAATTAATTTTCAACATATGGATTGATATTTTTATTTAATCAGTCAAAACCTATTGTCAATGAACAAAAAACAAAATAGCTTACCCTTATGCATCTGCTTGAGTTCTCAAATTTTTGCTTCTACTTCTGATGGCTTGACTCTTGGATTTATTTACACCTTTCTTTCTCTCTTTCCTCTTCTTTCTTTCTTGCTTGCTTGCTTGCTTGCTTTGCAGATATGTAAATGGCTGAAAGAGTTAAACACTGAACAATGCTTCACACTCGTGTCTGTGTGTCCTCCTATCCTCCTCCCAGAGACAGCCACTCTCATCACATTTTATACTTCAGGAAAGATTTATCAGTATGTGTATGTTAACTTTTATTTTACACAAATAGGAATGTGCTATGCATTGTATTCTGTATCTTTTTAAAATTAATATAATGGAGATATTTTCTACATCAGCTCGTATCAGCCTCATTCTTTTTTTAAAGCATGGTTGATGAATGTGCATCAACCCACAATTTACTTAAATAATTCACAATTATATAAGTCAAGATAAGCTATGTTATGCTGCAGAAGCAAATGACCTCACAAGTCTCAGTGGTTTATTGCTTGCTTACAAAATGTCTGTTGGGGTTCTGGGCACATCTCCAAGGCAAATGCCTTCTATGTGGCTGCACAGTGATTATTTGTTAGCAGCTCTATCATCCCATAGCTACACCATCTGGAACAAGTGGCCTCCTTAGTTGATGAGAAGAGGAAGAGAGAGCTTTAGCATAGAAGTAAATGCATACAGCTTCAGCCTAAAAGACACACACACATACACACACTTTTTGCAATCAATTTATCAGAACTAGTCTCATGGCTTCTCCTAAGAGGAAGATAGTAGGAAATGAAACATTTCTACATACCTAAAGGAGAATGGACCATGCAAACAATTATAAATGCTTGTTTAAAACTATATTTGAAACCATATTATTAGTCTGGATCTTCTTGATGTATTACCTCATATATCTTTGCTATTCAATAAACATGGGTTAGCTCATGGACATAAATAGTGTTCTCACATTCATTGATAGCATACTTAATCAATGAACTTCATTTTACAAGTATAAAATAGCTTAGGAAGAAAGCACTATCAGAAATCATGCCTGAATTGTTGCTCTCATTTTAGGAAAAACAAAGATAGAAGAAAAATGGAAAATATTTGAGGAATCATTTTGGTAATAGTTTGGCTCATAAGTCATTGAGCCTCTCAGTTTGACAACAGGAAAGATGAGCTAACACATCCCTATTTATAGCAACATTATTCATAATATTCAAAAGATGAAACAATGTAGCTATCCATCAACAGATAAATGGATTGGTAAATTACGGTAAATACAGACAATAGAAATTCTGACACCTGGTACAACATGAATGAATCTGAGGGCAATGTGAAAAAAACTAGTCACAAAAGACAAATATATATGATTCCATGTATATAAAATATCTAAGGTAGTCAAATTCAAATGTAGAACATACAGTGGTCAGTTCTAGAGGCTGCAGGGAGGGAAAAACAGGAAACTGTTGTTTAATGTGTACGGGGATTGAGTTTTACAAGGTGAAAGGCTTCCTGCAAATGGATAGCTGCATAGAAGTGTGAGTATACTAATGCACTATATGATTAAAAATGGTTAAAATGATCTAATGTACGCTAGATATATTTCACCACGAAAGAAAGGCAAGTGAGTCATAATCTTTAGAAAATAAGAATCTATGAGAAAACTCTATATTTCTCTCATTCCTTGAAGGAACTTTAGCTCCAGCTGACATGAGGGAAATGAACTAGCCAACTAGAACGAGGGAAGGTCGTAGTTCAAGAATAAGATAATTGAATCAATGATTTATGGTGTAAACTAGTTTTAGGTGGTGACAAGATCTAAGGTGTGGCCGTGGGAGCGGGTTGGCTGATGTGGAGGAGCGGGAAAGCTAATAAACTATGTGCACTGAACGAATAGAGGCCAGAATGCTGACTGGCATACGCACAGGAAGGTTTAGATCACCCACGAGTGTGCCAGTTTGACATGAAGAGGAAGACTGAAATAGGGGACAAATTCTGTGAGTGAGTATTCAGGGAACTTGGCCTTATTTGATTAGTATTCCTAGACTATTTTAGCTTCTAGACATCCAGCATACACCAGCTGAGTTCATAAAAGATGCATGTATGGGTGAAAATGACAGCTAGCTAGCTAAGAAGAGAAATTTAGCAATTCGATGAACTGTTCAAGTCTGCAAGGGCAGCACATTCTTCCCCGTAGGAAATCTGCGTGGGAAAGCATATTACAGTCGGAAGCTATTTAGTGAATGCAGAGTGAGAGCAGGGTAGTGATGGCTGAGAGAAGAGGGGATGTAATGGCCGAGTGCCTACTGAAATCATCCTATAGTGATTCGACTTCTCAACATTCAAAGTAAGGTCACATGCCACAGCGACCCCAAGAGCAGTCGTAGGAGTCAAGAATCTTCCCTCCACTCTGCACACTGAGTAGGTACTGCCAGGGTTTCTTCCTTTTTTCTAGGCATTGATGATTAATTTCCAACTTTAATAATCCATTTTTTAAATTATGAGAACAATAGCATCGCTTAATATATAACCAGATATAATACAACTAAGACATTCAGCTTTGTAACGCATGTTAGCATTTTCTGTAGACTGAATGTTTATATCCCACCCCCAATTTTTATGTTAAAATCCTAATTTCCAGTGTTATGGCATTTAGAGGTGGGGCCTTGACAAGTAATTAGATTTAGATCATTTCATGAAGGTGGAACCCCTATGGTCTGATGTATGCTCTTATAAAAAGGATAGTGATCGACTTCAGGCTGAAGAATGGAGATGGGTGGTAAAAAAAAAAAAACATGTTGCCGTTAACCGCATGGCCACTGCAGTCTCTCTCTCTCTCTCTCTCTCTCTCTCTCTCTCTCTCTCTCTCTCTCAGGCTCACTTTTACTGCGCAGAGGGTACTTTTACATCCTACTTAGTTGGCCCACACCCAAAAGAGCATATTTCTTTTCATACCTTTAATAAATATAAAACCTCATTACATTTAAAAGGAGAAAATCAAAAATAAAAAAGGAAATGCATATGCAATCTCTCTGGAGACATGCGTCAAGGTATACATATAAAGATACAGCCAGGAGGAGGCAGAGACCCCTCACCAGGAATCTGACCATGCTGTCACCCTGATCTCAGGCTCCAGCCTCAGAGACATGAGAAGAAAGATTTTTTACTTAAGCTCTTCAGCACATGGTATTTGGCATAGCCACCCAAATTAACACAGCATTTTTCTGGTATTACTCTTTGGTATCAATTTTGCTAGACTAAATATCTGCATGTTTGCCTGCCTTATAACAACTATTATTTTCTTTTACTATTATTATATTTATTGCTATTATTTTTCATCAGATTCAGTTTCTGAAAATGATGCTCTAACTACCCTCTTGATCATATTTAATTATTTTTCATCATTCATTTCCATGAATCTTTGAAGCAAAATATACTTCCATTTGTACATTATGCACTGAGATCTTGGGAATCCTAAACTATGTTGAGTCCATCATGGAGAAATTTGAAGTTCTTAAAGAATGTTCAATGACCACTCTTAGTCTTAGTCTTAGTCTAAGAACCTTAGTCTCAAATTTAGAGAAGGTTGCACTAACTGGATTTTATTCAATTTTGAAAGATCATTTTATCTTGCTGTATCTTTCTTTGTGTTGGATGTTTAGGGAAGAGAATTAACACTTTCAAGTCTCTTGAGAACGTTTTAGTGTACTATCACATTAGAAAGAAAAGAATCTGTGGTGTCCTAAGCATAAAATGGCTTTTTGTTTATCCCTTATACCTCCAAAAAAAAGTGATTTTGAATTTAGTTTTGAATTTTTCATTCCTTTTGTTTTGTTTTATTTTTGATACCAGGAAACAAACTCAGGACTTTGCTTTTTCCAGGCAGATTTATGTTGCTTAGCTATATCCCAGGCCCTTAGCTCTGGATTGTTAAGCTTAAAAATAATCTTTTTTATTTAAAAACATATATATATATATATATATATATATATATATATATATATTCATCTGAGGATGTTTCCAGAGATTATTGGATGATTGCCATGTACTATGTCAAACTGAGAGAAAAGACCCTAAATGTGGGCCACGTCATCTAAGTGGGTGAGGGCGCAGATATAACAAAACTGGAAATAGAGGGGAACCTGCTAATATGGGACATTCTCTGCCTCCAGGCTGTCATGAGGTTAGCACATTTCCTGTGTTGCGTCCTTCTGCCATGGTGTTTCAGCCACATACAGGTCTAAAAGCAATGAAGCCAACTTGCCATGCACTGGGTTCTCTGAAACCAGGGGCCCAAATAAACGTTTTCTCCTCTCAGTTGTTTTACTCAGATCTTTTGTCACAGCAACAGACAACTGACTAACATACATTTTTATGTGTGGTTGTGACTCTTTACAACTTTTCATTATTATTAGGTAGTTTTCATTACTGTTATGTAGTATTTTAATACATACAATCATATGTATTTTACATATAATTTGATAACTTATTTTTGCCTGTATTATTAATGTTTTTCTGTGTTGATACACACAGATATATATCTGTTTTTTAAATCTGTTTAATTTCTTTACAAATATATCATAATTTATTTATTACTCAATTAGTGGATATCAAGTTTTTCCCAGTGTTTTACTATAATAAATAACTCTGCTGTGATCACCATTGTACCTAAACTTTTCACAATTCATTCTCTGAGATAAATTTTTATAGTTGGAGTTTACTATGAGGAAACAATTTTACTATTTAATGGCATGTGTCAGAAGTTTTTCTGATTCATTCTCTGATTATGAGTGCAGATTTTCCTATACCTTCATCAGTGCTAGCCATGATTACTCTTCATTTTCTGTTAAGGAGCCAAAATTGATAATATGAACTTACTGTTGCATGTACATTACCTTGACATTCTGGAACCTTTAAGAAAAGCCACAAGATGGAGACATCATGGCAGCATCTGGATATTGGTCAGTTTCTCTGCGTCGGCATCTACCTTCTCCCCTGCTTTTTGGCAAGATAACATATCATCTCTGAGACTGAACCAGAGCATCAGCCCTTTTATTTCCAAATTTAGTATCACCAACTCACACACACTTTAGTCTGAAACCTTGAGATTTCTGCTGGTCTGTGTTGATATAGGCTTGCTCGCAAAGTGAGACAGACTGCTCTTGAGATGGGTCCTATGTCTAGGTTTCTATGAACTCAGTTAAGGACATCTTTACCCATTTCCTGAGGGACGCACAGTTTTACTCTTCTGAGGTATAGTTTTGCCCATTTTCTGAGGCTTAGTTCTCTACTTAGCCTCCCTTTCAAACTGAACTGTGCCACTCACTACACGTGCCACTCTCATCACATCCCCCTCTCAGGATAGGGAGGAGTCATTTTCAAGTGTTAAGTGAGTGATCCCTAACCACAGTGCCTTTCCTGACAGAAACCCAATTTCTTGAGTTTCTCTGCATCTTTGCAAATACATCTTTCTTTTCTTGTCCTCTTTATAATTATATTCAGATGTGTCCCGAGTAACCCCCCTCACTGTGACCGCCCACCTTCCTAGAGTAACATCATCTTTTTCTTCCCCTTCACCTAATTAGAAAGATTAGTCTGTTCCTACTAATTCATGTTCTCTCCTCACAGTCACCCCTCATACTATCCATTCGGGCTTTTCGCTCCCTATTTCAACATGTCTACTCCAAATACTGAATTTTAGTTTTACTTTTTTAAACAAATCAAAACATATGCTCCATTTTATAAAGTGTTTCTGTGTTCTTAGAAAAACAGCCCATATCCTCAGCATGATTAACAAAGATGACCAATTACAACTTACACGTCCTTTACTGTTCTCTTAATACATTAAGCATCTGCAGTCTCCGTAGACATGACATGCTCTCATTCATGCTCTTGACTAAAACTCTGTCCACATACACTATATGCATCTTTCCCTGATGCCTTCTATTTATCCTACTTTAAATGAAAGTCATGTCCCTCTCATATAATTTTACTGTACCCTATTTTTATTCACTTGTCATAAAACTTAACTAGTAGCATAGTTATTTTAAGGGATTTCTCCAACAAGTTGTAAGTTCTATGAGGCGAGAAACTGTGTCTTTCAGACCTCAAAGACAATGAGAACATTTTGGAATGACGATGGTGAAGATCAGAAAGTTGAGGAAGTAATACAAATGTCTTTGTAGAGTTTGGGAGGGTTAAGGCTGATAGACATGAATAGATAGCAACGTTACCCTGCATCATGTAAGATTTTCTTCAGCAAACTTTAAAAGGCTGAGTTAATTTGGTAAGACAGACAAATAGATTCTTTTAGGGGTAGTGACATTCCAGGAATTATGACAGAGGAACAATTGGACAAAGTAGTGGATGGTATGAGAGGAGAATATTGATATAAAGGATAGTAACTAACGTATTTTTGAAAAGTGAATTCAAAGGATTGACAGGTAAAAAGGCTGGAGATCTATGAAACTTTAAAACTTGTGGTTAAAGTGTAAGTAAGAAGAAAATGGAAACATTAGTTTGCAAGCATCGAAGAGAATACTTAACCTGGCCATTCTGAAGGTAGAATGTTTCCGACTGACTGAGTTCCCGAGAGTGAACAGGAAAGTGGGTGGCCGAGGTGGGACAGTGGAGATCCTGAGGGATGTGTGAGGCAGGTGTCAGGCCGTCCAGGACATCACAGCATGGTCGGTAACAGCCTAGCATGGCAAAGAAAAGGAGAGACGGCTAGAAGGCAGAATCTCAGACAGTGGAAGAGGATGTTAGACACACAGCCAATGGAGATTGCTGCAGTGGATACTATAAAACATAAGAGACCAGCCAAAGAGAGCTCATGAGAGAATAAAAGACCATCCATCTTTACAGAGCAAAGAAAAGAAATCCAGTCCCTTAAAAATACAGAAAAACAGGAGCAGAGTAAAAAATACAGGAAAACAGCCAGATAAGCATGAGGAAAGACAATACAATCTTCTGCAATTAAGGATGACAGATATTAGCCTATGCCTAGAAGAGTACTTTCTATATATTATAACTGAAAAATACATCAGTGAAGCAAGTTAGAGATTATATTCGGTGATGAATGAATTATTGGTAATGTTATGAGAAATTGTCCAGTGAATATAAGACACCTCAATGTAGTATTCCACTTTTGTCCTTCTTTCAGATGTTCTGAGAAATACTGGCATAGAATGGAGTTCCTTTCATTTTTTTTCCAAGGTGAAACACCTGCCCCTTTATGATTATGCGCTGGTTTAAAATTTCATAGGAGACTCCAGGTCCTCTGGAAAGGGTAGTGATTTCTTCTATCCTAGTTCCCCACCTCCTTTTTAAAAAACAAACATTAGTTTATTCTCATGGGAACATGACAATTCACCTACTTCCTTAGTGAGAAATTGTCGCAAATTAAAAAGATGTGATACTCTACTATAAATTTGGAGAAGTTGCTACAGCATTATCAATATTTTAGATCAATGTTTTCTGCTACATATTTAGATAAATGTTTTGGCTCTTTTAATTTTTTACTGGGTAAATGTGGTCTGGATCAGAATACATTCTAAGTCATAAAGTATTTCCTTCAAGATTTCTTAAGTACATTTTTTAAATGTAGAGGTGGAGTAAGATGTCAATTGTATCCCCAGAGATAATACACGTACTGTATAGGGTCACTTTTGGAAGCAAAACTATAAGCAAATGTATAATATTCATGATGTATGTGTATATGAATGCATAGAAAGTAGTCATCTTTCTATGGCTAATATTTGTTGACTGCGTGTTATAAATCAGTTACTATACTAGGCACTCTGGTGTCTGCCAAACATCCTAGTTTAGCATCAGAGTACAATGAAGCATATTGGTTGGTTCACTTCTTGATTGCACAGCTTCCTGAGGGCTTCAGATTGTGACCACTGCTGTGATCTCAAGGAACTATCATATAACATGGAATTTCATAAGGCAAGGATAGCCCTGCTTTTGAAAGATCAAGCCTCCAGGGAAAATAAACATTAAACTAATATATAATGACATTAAACTAATATGAATAAACATTAAACTAGCATGATGACCATTACTACAAAGAAAGAACTCTCTAGTGCTATGGGGATGTAAACAGATGATTGGAAAGTTCAAAAATGTTAATAAGGGTTATTTCTGCAAACCAAAAAAGATTGCAAATGATTTTATATTTTTTCCTATATTATTATTTTTCAGACTTTCTGTTCATAGCAAATCTTTTTGCATTAGATAGGGGTCTTTATAGAAACAATGAATAGGATGGATATATGATAGATAGAGTTTTATGAAAGTTGGTTCATGCAATTATGGAAAATGAAGTCTCATGAGCTTCCACCTGAAGAACTAGGGAAGCTGATAGTATAATTTAGACCAACTACAAAGGCCTAAGTGTATAATTTTCAGTCAGAGTTGAAGGCCTAAGAATGTGGGGAGGGGTACTAGTATGAATCCCCAAGTCCAAATGTCTGAGAATGTGGAGAGCTTCCACCCAAGAGCAGCAGGTAGATGTCTTCTCTACAGAAGAACATTTGAGTGCCTTCTTCCTCTACCTCTTATCAGTGAACATCGACAGTTCTATCCAGGCCCTCAACAGTTAGACAATGCCCTCTTACGTTTCTGAGGACAGCTTCTGTTTTTTCAGTTTATTGCTTCAAATGCTAATATCTTCCATCAACACCCTCATAGAAGCATTCAGAAATAATATTTTGCAGGCAATCTGTAATAGTTTATAACTAGGTGTTCCCACAAAGAGTCATGTGCTCATAGGCAGGACTTTTGGGAAGTGACTGGATCATGAGTGTGTGACACAGGATTTGTCCACTGATGAGTTTATAGCTGGGTGTGCCATTGAAAAGTGATATCTGATGAGAGGAGGAGAGTCACTATGGTAGTGGCCTGGGAGCATATATCCTTCACCCACTCCTGACTTGCTGTGTTGCTGTCAAGTCATGAACTGTTGATCCTCTGCCATGCCTCTCTGCCATGCTACCTTGCCTTAGAGCCAGCCAACTATGGACGGAAACCATAAACTGTGAGCTAAAAATAAACTCTCCTTCTTATCTTGTGGGTGTTGGCTATTGTGTCCTAGCAACAAGAATGTAACTAAGATACTGTCTGAACATCCTTAACTTAGCTAAGCTGACACATAAGATTAACCCTTGAATTTTAACCACTTTCTGTTTCTAGAAAAGACACAATGTTCTTTGAAAGTAAACCAAACAAATAATTTTGGTTCTGTTTCTCTCTTTCAATGTCAGTCAAAAACTTTGGGATTCAAAAGTGTATTTTAAAAAACAAAACCTAAACTAAAGGCACAGTTGTGGTGCTGGTGGTGGTGGGTGTAACTTAGTGGTCAGGTATGCACATGGCATGCGTGAGGCCCTGTGTTCAATCCCAGAACAAGGAAGAAGGTGCATGTTCTTTTCTTGGGTTAGTCAGTGAGAGATGCTGGTTTTAATTCAATAATTTATTCCTGAATATTTTAATACCATTTATATAAAAGAATAGATTCTATAGTATAGAAACAAATACATAGACTAGTGAAATGGAAGAAGCATCCACAAATAAAGCCATGCGTATACAGGTGCATCTCAACACACAGTGGTCTTACTTCCTGCTAAACTCATCATGTGTTGAAAATAAAATGCATGTAACACACCTAACCTGCCAAACACATAACTCAGCATCAGAGCACAATGAAGAGTGTTGGCTGGTTTCTCTCTTGATTGAGGCTGCGGCTTATGACTGATACCCGTGATCACTGCCCAGAGAAAACTCAAAATTGAAAGTATAATTTATATTCGATGAATGTGACTTTTACACCATCATAAAGTTGAAAAAACATAAGACAAAACATTGTAAGTAATTTATACTGGGGAAAAGAAAGTTTCTTCAATAACTGATATTGGAAAAATTATATATCCCCATGTAAAAGAGTGAAATTAGATCCTTGTTTTGCACTACAAGTAAAAATTAACCAAATGTATTAAAGACTCAAATGTAAGGTATGAAACCACAAAACTCCTACAAGAACACAGGAAAAAAATTGATACTGGTCATGAAAATGATTTTTTTGGATACATACCCCAAACTAAATAAGTGGGACTACATCAAATTAAAAAGCAGTCACACGTCAAAGGAAACAGTTCACAAATGGAATAGCAACCCACAGAATGAGAGGAGGTAATTGCAAATTATATGTCTGATATGGGCTAGTGTTGGGAGCCGCAGCCCCGAGCCCGGTCGCCTCACTTGGCGGACGTGAGGCCTGTAGTAAAGAGTAAAGCCTGAGGTAGATTACCCCTCCCATCGAGCACGTTAGTTTCCTGCTTACCGCGTAAGCAACCCGCACAACAATATAGTCTGCCTGGCAACTGATGATGTTAGCCAATCAGCTTGCCTTGCTTACTTTAACATGATTGGACACTGTATCCGTATATATACTGGTGCCACCCCTGGGGGGGAAGAAGAAGCCCGGAAGTAGAAGCCCAGAAGGAGCCGCGGGGAGCGGACCAAAGGAGGCTTCGGCTGGGAGCGATCCCAGGGCAGGCTGTACGGAAAAGAAAAATAAAAAAAAAAGGTTGTCCACTGCCAGACTTTGTCGTGTGTCCTTCCTGCCGGCCGGGAGCGGACATTGACATTTGGTGGCCCGTACGGGGACTGATCACCCCCGAGACGTGACAGCGGACAACGCTCCAGTACAGAGCTGCGAGACAGGTGAGTTGGGGATAAGCCTGGGCTCTGGGTGGCGCGCACCTACAGGGCTTTTAGACTCCCCTCAGGCTCACGCGTAAGTGGCGGATTCCTTGGGCCTCACGCGGTGAGTAACATATTAAAAGATGGGAAACATGCTAGGTAGCAACACTAAGAGCGAGGGTGGTTGTGGAGAAAGCTCTCAAGAGCTTACAAAAGTACGCAGGGTATTTGAGCAGGCCCAGTCGGGGAGCTCCCGAGAGGGGCCCATCAAGGGGAACAAAGATGCTAAGGAGAAGGACGGGGCTCTAGCCTCGGAGTCGTCTGACTCCGAGGACGAGGGAAAGTTGAATGGCAAGGAGGCCAAAGAGACCAGCTGTCAGGAGCCTAAGTCGCTCGATAAGGAGTCGCAGGGTTCTTTCCCAGTAATTCAGGGTACCACAGAGCCATTTGTTGACTTTGTGGCCCGAATGCAAGATGCTGCCGATAAGATATTTTCTGATCCGGGAGTGGCTCAACCGCTGGTAAGGCAGCTGATTTTCGAGCAATGTACAAAGGAGTGCAAGGCAGCGATAACTCCTCATAAGAACAAGGACCTCAACGCCTGGATTAGGATATGTAGAGAGATAGGGGGGCCGCTCTCCAACTCGGGAGTGGCTGCTCTCCTGGCCGCGGCTGTACAGCAGAGGGGACCTCGCGGGTTAGAAGGGGAATGTAAGGCTAAAGGGTGTTTTGCCTGCGGGGAGCCAGGACACATTAAACGTCATTGCCCAAACAATGCAGATGCTAGGCCTCGCCCTAGGAATGAAAAACCATATGTTTGTGGGCGATGCAAGAGGGGATCACACAAAGCTGAGGAGTATAGGTCGGTCTTTGATGCTCAGGGCAACCGTATTTGTGGACGAGATGCTAGAGGGCCAAAAAACGGCCAGAGGGGGCCCCCTTCACAGGCGGGCCCCCGCCCCAGAGACAGGACAGCTCAGGATGGCAGCCTTCA